GTGTTTTATTTCAATGAATGTTCGACCACCACTGGAGTTTGGAAAAATAAAACGGTGAGGTGCATCTATGCTTTATAAAACAGGACTTCTGCAGATAGACACTAGTGTTGTAGTTTCGAAATTTATTCCACTCTAAATTAAAGTGCGTCATTCCTTCTAAGAGTAAACGAAAAGTTGAACTAGTCGCCATGTCTACAGACATTCGCTGCCATTTTTAAAAGTATGGACCACGCATAAATCAACTGTTATCACGAGATATTACTGATATTTTGCAAAATGAAATAAATCCCGTATTGACTTCTCCCTTGGAGGTACATGAATAGAACCAATTTGCATGAGTACAAGAAAGGAAAATTAAGCCACTTCAGCTCTTAACTCTGGTTGGCTCTCTTGAGATTTCACAAATCTTTACTTTCCGTCTAGTTAATGGTTTTCATAAGCCAAAAAACTTCAAGAAAATTGTTTCAAATAGTCCTATTGATGCCAACTTAGAAATTCGAGACTTGCGCCTTTTACAAAGATCTAACTACCCGTGCGTGTCACCTAAATTGATAAAGGCGCTTGTGAGCTGTATGCTAAACTTACTTTCAAATTAAATTACACTTTCAAATGATAGCCTTCAGAATTTCGGTAATTTTGATTTCACGCTTCAATTTATGATAGAGAGAGGAAATGCACGAGATTCCTGACCAACCAGTATTTAATTTGACCTGCATTTACGAAGAACAAACGAATTCAAACGCCTTGAGGACCTGCCATTAACTATACGTGTTCAGTTTTTATTTGAAACATTTTACCTCTGAGCCAAAATTGATTCTTGTTGTGTATTCTAATAGTCTGTCGATTCATTAACATGGCAATGACATAAAAGGCATTTAACAGTCTCCCAATGAAAAAGCCGCTTTAATAGAAGAAATTAACAAATTCACTTTCGAGTTTCATGCGATAGCTGATGATCTATTCAAAATACCTGAAGAATATTTTCTGCGTTTGCCGTGTTTTCCCAGATACTCATGGTATAAAAAACAAAAGGTGACAAGCTTTGTGGTCAATATAGCTAACAAAGCTAAATATATAACTTTGAACAGAACTATTCCGTCGAGTAAAGCAGAAACGGGCGACTGATGAATCTCAAGTTCATAGCCAAAACAAGGTATAGTCTGTCAGTCTTGATACTCTCTTAGTATTTGCCGATAAGTCATGTCCGCTTAAAATCAGTACGGTGTTGACGTAAGCGATAGTGTCAATTTACCACCCTTATTTTAATACAAAAAGGTTAGCTTCGTGTTGTTTTTAAAAATTAACAAGAAAATAATTAGTTCGTCATATATGTTCTATCCGATATTTCTAGAAGGAGCTAATGTCTGTTGCTCTCTGATATCAAAACATTGGTTTTTACATTATGCGATATGTCTATCGTCCGTTTAATACAGTAATACAGTATTAAGAACGAAGACTGCTGTGATTCACATTAAAAAGATATACGTGTTTATCTTCTTGAAATGATACTCTCAGTCAAACCAAACTTTCAACCACAACATGGCAATGCAAACGCAATTCGATTTGGTGCCATATTTAATTCACAACACAGTGTGCAAATATATTTTAGAAACTTACGAAATACGCACCGGAATGCAAACTGCTGTTTTGTTTTATGGTTATTTCGTATTTTGCTTCTTTGCTCGTTTGCAGCTTTACACCATAAATTGTTGTTTTGTTAAGCAAAAAAAAAGTAACGAAATCATGTTGCACGAATAACAAGAAAGTCTTAAATCATGATTTAGTTTATGTTGCCGGTTTTCTCGTTTTGCATTTAGCATGTGCTGTTTCATTTAACTGAGTGACGACTCAATTTTCTTCCTGTGGAAATCCCATTTAATTCCACTGACCTTTGAAAAAGCCGACCGTATGAGGTTTTGATAAATCTTAAAATGCCAAGGTTAACAACGGAAACAGATTGTTTTTATTTTTTACACGGGGGTAAATTACACATGTCAGAAAATGCAAAATGTTAGGCATTAAATTACTTGGTCGCACTTCAGTTCACTTTGACAATGTAATATGTTATTTGATTCTGAATATGAGGCTTTCCTAAAGCGTAATTATATTTAATAATGTTGCTCTGTACAATCTGCCGAGAAAGCATGATCCATTTTACGAGAAGTGTTTGGGTTTAAACGAATAATGCAAAACGGCCTATTACAAAAGTACCATAAAATGAAAGGGTTTTCTTAGAATGTTTTTAATAATACGGTGACCAAAATGTTTTATCACATGTAACTTGTTTGACGCAATGTTTGCCTTATTTTGATATTTTGGTCCAAGGGCTAGATCTTGCGCATCACTCTCGTCTGCAAACTTCAGTCCGATAAGGAATTATTTGATTTGCAATCGAATTGTGTGTAACCTGTTTAAACATAGAAATCCACTAACAAGGCTTTCTACGTAAAGTGAAATGACGTCAAGGAAGTAATAAAGTTTTTAGTGTTAAATATTTAGGATCAGATTTTTACTGGTGTTTGCGGACCTTCGATGTTAAAACCTGTATGGACTATAAAGCAGATAAAAGAATATTTGATAAAATGATACTGTGACATATGATTGCATTTGGACACCAAAACGTCGAACATAAGACAAAACTCTTAAATAATTCACTTGTCAACAAATTGAAACATTAAGTAAAAAGAACGTGAATTACGATTGTTTGGGTTTTCATAAATGTGAAGAAATTTAAGTAAAATGTTTTATCTAAAAAACCAAAATTTGTATCAACTTTCGGTTACAATATCTTAGAAAGAAAAATTTGTAGGAACAATCTTGATTAGAACGAATATTAAACAATTATTGGATGAGGTTTTTGCGATATCCAGAATAATCAAGGTCGAGGTAGGGGTTATTCTGGATATCCCAAAGCCGAATGTAATAATTGTTTTATTGCACATTGAACGAAAAAAAAAACAATGGAAKTCATGTTTTTACTTCTTCACTGACGGCAAGCAACACAAAGTGCGCGAACTTGACATAATTACCCTTACAAATCATGCACCGCGGTCATACATGACATGATTACCCGTGACCTTGAGTGTCCTTGACATGATTATTGTATAATCTGCAGCTAGATGACGTCACAGGCGCTGATTTCGAAAATTCACTATACGCTTTCGGCCAATCAGAAAAGACATAGTGAGTTCAATGTATAATAATAGTATAAATCTACTAGCTATCTATCATGAATGCTGTTTAGTCTCTTGTGTTCTCTTATTGGCTACGTATGCCATTGACTATCTATTGTTGTAGGTCTCGTTGATAGTGAGCAACCTAACAGTATGCGGTTGTTAACGAAAAGGCGGCCACTTCTTTTCAGACTACAATGTCTGTGAAAAGAATTTAGATAAAGTTTTGAACCATTAGTACTGGTGTATTTACACCAAAACAGTTAAGATTATTCGTGATAGTTGACGAGGGCGCAACCCAAGTCAACTATCACGCGATAGAAATCTCCAGCTTGCAATCTAACATTTAAATATTTTTTCAAACAGACACACTGATGTTTCCATACCATAGAAAATATTTGCATCTACAAAAACGAAAAAAAATTTAGTTGTACGAGAACTCTAACACTGCCGCCGTGACGTCATGTGAAACACTTGATCCATACTGCGAATTTTTACGTACCGTCTACACTACGTCGGAGAAATTTGAAAACGCAACAATCACCGGCGGTTGAAAATCTTGATTACATCCTGAGGGTTAGGATAAATCACATGATTATCAAGACGTTGTCGTTTTCGAAAACCTCGGTTTTCAAAATGTTTTCCGTCCCCACTAAAACGGAAAGCTGACGTTTTCAAATTCCTCCGGTGTGAAGAGTGTTTTCGAAAAGCTCCCTTTTTGGTCTGGATTAGTGTGGACGATAGGCCTAACCGTTGAAATAAAGCTGCGTTTTCAAATTTCTCCGCCGTGGTGTGGACAGGGCCTTGGTTTTTATATATGTGCTCTTAATTTATTCAATTCAAAATGTGCTGCGCTTAGACCCTACTCAATATGCGTTTTTTACGTTCCACAGAACGACTTGGGAACACTACCGACGACCAGAGATTATTGAAATACCTTCTGCGGGATTACAAGAACCGCAGACTTGTTCGGCCTGTGAAGGATCGTTCTAAGGCTGTTGTCATCGGCTTTAGCGCTGAGTTAATTGGTGTCGCTAAAGTGGTAAGAAAGAAATTAAAATCGTCGAAAATTTTTAAATGACTACGACTTTGAGCAACTTCACAAGTTGCAATGTTCAGTATTAACTTCAAATCGTAAGCAACCTAACAATAATAGCTAACTAAGGCATAAAACCAAAAGCAATTGAATGGCTTTGAATTAAATGACTTAAGGCTGTGTTCACGCTTGCTGCCTGAGCGCTGATGCCTGGACACTGGTGCCAGCTGGACGGTGGTACAAAATAGTGTTGCGTTCAGACACAGTGTACTCCAATTACCCAAGTACCATTTAGAGCCCAAATTCTGGTGAGTACTTGGAAAAAAGGTGTGTTCACATTGGTGCGATGCCCAGCGAGAATCGCACTGTAGCACCGTGCTTGGGCACCAAGTCTGAACATTGCCTAAGACATGCAGACAATGAAAGACGAACGAGTAACAAGATACATGCATCCGTTAAGTAACTACAGTGGAACCCCGTTTATACGACCACCTTCGGGTCATGGAAAATTGGTCGAATTAAAGGGGTTCTTTAAATAACAAAATGACTGTCTGAGCTTTTTTTGCGGACCAGAATAAAGTGGCCGTAATAACGAGGTGGTCGTATTAACGGGGTGGTCGTAAGGCAGGGTTCCACTGTACTTCGAACCCTGATGTGAACAAGCTAATTCTCCTTACGTATTCTTGTTCAATCTCACAGCGTTAGTTCGGAGAAGCATAAGTTTTATCACCCAATTTCCTCGTTGAGGATATTCCCTTTACTCCATAAACCTTCCGCGGAAAAATTCACGATTTTGAAAATGGGAAGCACGTGGTGCGCTGATGAACAATTACGGTTAAAAAGATCTAATACAACATCAAAATGTTTCGAAAGATTTGACTAAAAGCAGTATGTAAACTCAAGAAAACACGCAAAAGATCTTGCTGATAAAATTTCAGGTTTCAGGGAGCATGCAGTGGTGTTTCATAAGCTTTCTACACATTTGTCTGAAAACCCTTCCAAGTCCGAAGACATTAGATTTTAATTTCACAGATATTGAATGCTTTAGATTTTGTCTCTTGTTTTAAAATGGTGGATTAGACGGATTGTGAGTTGCAGTAACTGTTCTCTTCTTGGTGTTTACCTAAACAAACAAAGAAAATTTCTGACTCGTTTTTTTTGGTTCTGTTGTTTAATCACCTAAATATTTTATCAAATGGGGCTCCCACAAACTATACTATAGTGGCCACTTTTGTTTAATTTTTATGAACTAAAATTGAATGGTAATATCGCAGACATGTATTTTCAAAAAGAATCCGCACATTTTTTGTAGGCGTTCTGTGATACCACAAACTGATAACTGTGTTTGGTTTGATTTGTGGAATATACAACGACAAATATGCCTTGCAAGAAGCAACATACATACTTAGATTTGTCGGCGCATCGGGTACCTATGCGTAGAAAATGATCCGAGACTGAGACTCGAGACTGACTGATTGGTGTGAATATCTGATACTCGACAAATTTATGCACATAATTTTCTCAATGAATGCGCCCTTCATATAGAATTTGACGCACTAGCCACTGTTAATAGACTTAAATAAGCCTGTGTTCAGGTGCTGGCTAAATATCATGAGCACCAATCAGAGGAATAATTTTGTCCACATCAGAGGAAAGGCTGGTGTGGTTTACACGAAAAAGAAATACTCAATTAACAGAATAAGGGTACAAATATTAGCATTAATGGGCCTTTTGCAATGAACTGTCACGTGGCGCACAATCCAACGTATACACTAAGTGGAAGATAGGTAAGGCATCTTCCAAAGCAAAACGACTTGGCTTCTCTTAACTTTGGAACTTCTATAGCCTCCCCGCAAATGCTCTTGGGACTCGTCACTCGTTCTCCCCTCCCNACGCAGACGCGTGACGAGCCCTAAGAGCGTCTGCGTGGGAGTTTATCAACAGGAAGACCTCACAAGATTTACTGATCCCACCGGAACTAACATTTTCTTTGTCCTCGTTGTTTAATTTCCTGTTTCCTGTCTCGGCTGCAGCTCAGTGGGATTTCCTGGGTAGTTAGATTTTTGGCCCCTTCTGATATACCATAATATTCAGTTCTGTTAACAGGAGGCAAGCGTACGGATTATGTATCATTTAGACACAAACAAAAGCTTTCCCTTTCCTTGTTGTCACTCTTATTAAACGGAATTCTGTGAATGTTGCAGGATGAAAAGGAGCAGATAATCAAGACTCACTTCTGGGTTCGTCTGGTGAGATTATCCTTTCTCTAGATTATATATCTCAGTGCATCGATATTTTAACAAAAGCATGGTCTCTAAATGTTTTTGATTGTCTAAGTTTTGCCACGATTACTGGCATTCAACATTTTAAAGAGGGGCATTTTTCAAACTATATAACGATTCTGTACGCCCCCTTAAGTATGGTTATAGAAATAACGAGAGACATATTTTGCTTATAAAAGGGATGGTTTTGTGCACTCAAATGAAATAATAAGTTTCATTTTCCCTTCTTGAATACAACGAACAACGAACACTTGGAATTCTGTTATCCAATCAGAAACTCGCGAAATTACTCTCAAGCACTCCACAAATTCTAGTGCAAATTTTCATGTAGCTCACCACTGACAGCTCCCCGAGAAAGCACGGGCTTCGTCAATTTAACCAACTGAATCACTGGAAATATTCAGAAACTGATTTTCATTTCACTATTTAATAAACATGGGCTGGGCAACGCCATGTCAGATTGAATTTTTCGAGTGAGCAACTGTGTTATCATATCAGGCTTTCCTTTTAAGCATAGTTCTATTCTATTTTCATCCTCCAAAGGACTGGAACAATCCTTACATGACGTGGAAACCAAGCGATTATGGCGGCGCCAAGGAGATTATGATTCCTCCTGAGATGATCTGGGTACCAGACGTCATTCTGTACAACAAGTAAGTCTTGATTTCTTTGAGCTTGTTTGTTTACAGTCCGTCTTACTGTCTTCCTGAATGTCTGTCTGCCCGCCCATCTGCCTGTCTGCCCATCTGCCCATCTGCTCGTCTGTCTGTCTGTTTCTCTACCTATCTGCCTATCTGCCCGTCTGCCCATCTGCCCCTCTGTCTGTCTGTCTGTCTATTTGTCTGTCTTTCTTTTTGTCTGTCTGTCTGCCCGTCTGCCCATCTGCCCGTCTGCCCGTCTGTCAGTCTGTCTGTCAGTCTGTCTGTATGCATGTCTACCTGTCGGCCTCACTCCTGTCTGTTTGCTGGTTTGCCTTGATTTCTAACGTCTTCTTCAAATTGCTAATTAACAAACGCATCTTGCATCTAAATTAATGCACATGTTGTCAAGTTTAAACCCTGTCATTTATCTAAGAAAAATACCAAACCAACGCAACGAGTGAATTCGATGATCAGCACTTCGGACTTTAGATTGGGAGGTCGCTAATACAGCGTGACAAGAGCTCGTTCGTAGCCGGAGACGAAAACACTTTACTCATAACGTTGATACTCTAAACTAAAAGCAGGGGTTCAAATTTTGGTGGCGAATTGTCGGCGAAACCTACCAAAATGCAACAAAATGTAGCAATCCAACCAAGAGGAAGCAATAAACAATACTCGGTCCATGATACGAAAGCTATGATCAAGAGCCAACGCTGATGAGCCAGGCTTCTCAGATACCAAGTAACATATTAAATACGAAAGACTGAGCGTTACTGCATTTTCAAACAACAAGAAGAGAGCTGAAAATATGACAAGTAGTGAAGTATTTCTGACGAACTTAGAGGTATTTGGAAATGTGTGCAAATGACATATCTAATCAATCAAACTGAAACTAAGGGGAAAACGGAGAAATAAAATCGTCTATTATAAATTCTATGGTAATGTAAGATCGGATATCCAAACACCGTTACGGTCATAATTTGTTTTGTTTCGACTTAATGCTTTATTAATAAGTACCTCCATTGTCAGGTCCTTAAATTAAGTTACTCAGCATGGGTAACTCGACATCAACCTCACTGCACCCACTTATTTCTCAGAATTCCTATCAATCTGAGCTTTTCTCTCCTAGGGATTCCTCTTCTGATTTTCTGCTTCCTCCCACTAACAGGTGAGAATGACAAGACTTCCCCCAAAATGCAACAATTCTAACGCTTTAAACGATTTTCATTCATCTCTACAGTGCTGATGATCGACTTAGTTTGAAAGCCACCTCCGGCTTCACAACCTACGTCAAGGTACGACATGATGGCAACCAGACTTGGCGGGCTCATATCATCTACAGGAGCATGTGCAACATCAACGTCAAGTATTTCCCGTTCGACGATCAAACCTGTAAGATGGTTTTCGCGTCCTGGTCTTATGACGTCAGCGTGATTGACTTACGAGAGAGGCGCGGTCATACAGACGGCAAAGCTGTTGCTAAGAAAGAGAGAGGATCGGACGTGTTCCAGGAAAACGAGGAATGGACTGTGGAGTGGATAGACATCGAGAGGAATGAGGTGCGTTTTTAATTTACCGTTAAAAAAAGGAGGCAGCGTGGTCGAGTGGTCAGGGCGCTGGGTTTAAGTCCCGCTCTGACCACTTAGCCGGAGTTGTCTCTCGGTAGACTCTTGTTCAACTCCTTGGTCATGCTTGTAAATAGCCAACTGGTCTGCTTCCCGCCAGTTGGGATGTTTAAGCCTATTATGTTTAGTTGATATGTTTGTTTCTTTCAGTTTAAGTGGCATGCCTGTGAACTAGCTAGGCATTCATTTTGCAAAAATGAGAATGCATAAGGCCCTTCATTTTCTATGTACAAGACATAGGTGGCATACTTATGTCCTCCAGAAGAAATTGCAACATTTATATCACGTCCTTAGAGGTTCTTAAGAAAAAACAGCCTGGGTTAAATTTGGTTGTCGTTGTGGCTTACAAATCTTTTACTCTTCCTTTCAACAGAAAGAAAATGATTGCTGTGATTTACCAGTGGCGGACTTGACCATTACCATGCTTCTGCGCAGACGTACATACTATTACGTCATGAGCCTGATCTTGCCTTGTACTCTCATAGCTTGTACCATCTTCCTGGAGTTTATTCTCCCAGCAGAGTCTGGTGAACGAGTCGGCCTGGGTATCACTATTCTTCTATCAATGGCCGTGTTTCAAGAGTTGACGTCAGAGAAGCTACCTTCAAGCTCTGAGCACTTTCCTCTTTTAGGTATGAATCATGCACTTAAAACCTCTGTTCCAACGGTAGCGAGCAAGATGGTTCATCAAGTTATAACACCGAAATCACGTTTGGGTTTCAGGTAGAAATAAGAGATTGTATGCTAAACTGACTTTCAGTGAAACAATTTTACGTTTCCGCGCTGATTAGAATCAGAACTTTTTTCGCGGTTCCCTGAGATGATACCGTTATAATTGCGACTATTGTGGTTATTGGTAACTTTAGTTTGAGGCAGGTGAACTTCTTAGGACTAAGCTGTTTACATTCAGTGTTTTCAATATTAACTGGCTGTGAAGATTGGTCTTTTGTTGTTGTTTCACCGTCAAGCAATATTTCATCGCGTCAACGTCTCTACTGTTTTCCATAGTGCGTACTTTGTGTTGTAGGAAATTATTTTGCACAGCCGAGTCTTTAGAAATTGCTCACTCAGTGGCAGTGTCGCTGATTTGCGCGGTCACTGAAACAAAAGAGAGCGCCTGGGGACAGCTAGGAGCCAGGGCACATTCAGCAGAGTCTCAATTAATAACTGAATTTCTTGCTTTCGCTTTTTGCAGCTATGTACTATTCAGTGTCAATCATGGAAATAGGTACCGCCCTCGGGGCCACGTGCATCATACTAAACTTTCATCATCGCAATACAAAGATGCCGGGCTGGTTTCACAAGATTGTGTTAGAATGGCTGGCTAAGCTTGTGCGATACGAACCTCGCGTGACCAACCGACACTTGTCAGATTCAGGATCTGTGGACGAAAGCACGCAAAAGATGATTCAATCGAACGCTGCCTCGGAAAGGAAACGGAACGACGCGTTTGATCTGGAAAGAGACTCGATCGAATTTGAAATGGACCTTTTTGAGGAACCTCGTGGGGGACGTGACCAGGTGCTCTTAGCCCAGAATGGAAACATTCCCACAAACCACGTTACCAGGAAGCGCTCGGTCAAAAGAAAACCGCAGGACACTGAAACCGAGACAACTGAGGTACAAGTATCCGAGGCCAGGTTTCCGGTTTACGATGGCAGCAAAGAAGAGTTTTACAAGAAACAGTGGCAAGATGCAGCCAGGATCCTGGATCGGTTTCTGCTTTTGGCGTCGGTCGTGATAGGCTCCGTCTCAGCGATGGCCATTTTTCTGCAATCTCCTCGCATCAGGGGACTTTTTATTCCGTAACACAGGGCCCGCTGTGATTTATGGGAAGACGCCGGAGATGGCTAGAAACGGCAAGATGTTGCTTTGTTTTGAAACTTGCCCTTATTGAACAAAAGTGGTCTTAGTCAACAGAAAACAACAATGCGCCTTGACCATCTGCGATGCAGACGTTTTAGAGACTTGGGTGTGAATTTGTGTGTTACTTGCAAAAAGTGTGAACGCTTTTAAAAGAG